TGGAGGTTGAGGCTGGAGAAACATACATTCTAGAGTAGCCTGGGCAACTTGGAGAGAACTTGTCTTAAAATTTAAAAATTCTTGGGATGTAGCTCAGTGATAGAACACCTTTTGGTTCAATTCTGAGTACCACAAAAAAGTAAAATCAGATCCAATCAGATAATTCAGGAAGAACTCCCTATTTGAAATTCTATAGCCTTAATCACATCTACAATGTCCCTATCCCTGTGTAAGATGACATATTCACAGTTTCTAGGAATTAGGGTGTGGACATCTTTTCTGAAAGCAGGAATGTGAAGTAAGAAGGGATGGGACCAGGGAGCTATTTCTTAAGCTCTCTGTGAGTCAGTTTTCCATTTCTGTAACAGATCCCTGACAGTCAACTTATAAAGAGAAAGGGCTTGTTTTGGTTCACAGTTTTAGAGGTTTCAGTCCAGGATTGGTTGGCCCCATTGCTTTGGGCTTGTGGCAGCACATCATGGTGGAAGAGCATGACTAGGAAGCAAAAGAGGGGCAGGAGTTCTAACCTCCCTTTTGAGGGCATGCCCCCAAGAACCAAAAGACCTCCTTCTAGGCCCCACTCTTTTTTTTTAAAGAAAGAGTGAGAGAGAGAGAGAATTTTTTAATATTTTATTTTTTGACGGACACAACATCTTTGTTTGTATGTGGTGCTGAGGATCGAACCTGGGCCGCACGCATGCCAGGCGAGCGCGCTACCGCTTGAGCCACATCCCCAGCCTCTAGGCCCCAATCTTAAAAAGACTCCCTCCATCTCCTAATAGTGCCATACTGGAGACTAAGCCTTTACTATGTGTACCTTTGCAGGACACTTAAGATCTATACTATAGCAAGTCCTATAATCTTTTTTTTGAAATTATGTGCATATATTCTTTTGATCAAATAAAAGTTAAATTCAAGTACCAAATTGGCACATAATGGACTCAATTTTAGGCAATATATCCAATGTAATTATTATACAAGCAATCTACCTTATACATAGTTCATTTTTGTGTTTATATGCAAAACTCCCTAGGGTCTTCCAAGTATGTTAAGAAATATTTGTTAGGGGCTGGGATTGTTGCTCAGCAGCAGAGTGCTCGCCTAGCACGTGCAAGGCCCTGGGTTCGATCCTCAGCACCACATAAAAATAAATAAAATAAAGGTATTGTGTCCAACTACAACTAAAAAATAAATATTAAAAACAGAAATATTTGTTAGTCACAACCACAGCTGGGCCCTTTTGGAAATCCTGATTTCGGAGGACTACAGGATTCATCCAATGTACCAATTCCTTTCTTATTCCCATTGTATTAAAGTCCTGTGGTTACTTTTGGCAGTTACTGCTAATAGCTAGCTACTTCCTATAGCAAGAGTAGGAAGTGACTCTTAGCCTTAGGCTTGATTGTATGTCACAATTTAGAAGCAAGTGTAGCCCAATCTCTTCATTTTACAGATAAGAACACCCAGAGAGGGAAAGAGACCTATCTGTGGTCATAGACCTAGTATTCCCATTTGCAAATGAACCCCATAGTTTAGGGCCACTGTTAAGAGATATGGATGGTATTAAAATGACTAAAATTGACATCATTTTACAAATAGGGAGACAGACCCAGACAGAGAGAGATACCTACCCAAGGTCCTTTGCAGCTCCTAGTTTTGTAAGTTTTCTTAAGCACTTTTTATTAGTGCATTATAGTATACATAATATTGAGGTTCATATTGACATATTAACAAAAGCATGAAATATAATTTTCTCCAATTCAGTCTCCAATACTTCCCCTTTCCCTTCCCTCCTTCCTCTTCCTGTTCCCCTTCCTCTACAGGTCTTCCTTCTATTTACTTATAATTTTCAAATTTAGGGCATTATAGATATACATAAAGGTGAAATTCACTGTGGTATATTCATATATGTACATAGGATAGTTTGGTCAGATTCATTCCATCATTCTTCCTTTTTTTCTGTCCCTCCTCCTTCCCCCTCAATCCTTTTCCTCTACTCCACTGATCTCTCTTCTATTTCCATGGGATCCCTTCCCTGGCTTTTTTTTTTTCTTTATTTTGATCTAGCTTCTGCATGACAGGAAACATTCAACCCTTGACTTGGGTGCGACTTATTGCGACTTATTTCACTTAGCATGATGTTCTCCAGTTCCATCCATTTACCAGCAAATGCTATAAGTAAAACTCCATTATATATATATAT